CAGACTTTTGTTATGGAATCTCAGGGGAAGCGGAGGGAAAGGCTTCCTTCGAAATGTCACGGGATAATGAATGCTATTTTACTCCCATTGCAGAAGTGTCAGTCAGCACTTGGGGAGAGAAGGCGTGATTCTCCTTAGGAAAGAACTCTAGATGATCTTGTATTCCTCAGAACCAGAGGAGTGATGGCTGAGCCTCCCTCTCCAGTCCCCATGGCTCCCGCATGAACACAATATAAATATGACCATAGAAAAGTGATCACCACACTCATGAGATTTAAATGAGGTGCTCTGTGAGACTGTTAGCAAGCTGTAAGGGTGCCATGCAAAACCAGAGTTAGCAAACCCTGACCTGAGTCTTACATGAATGAGAAATACCCTGTGGGTGGTGGGTAGAGCCTAGGATAAAAGCCCACCTGTAACTTGTGAACCTTCCAGGGGTCACAGCTGCATCTCTGATTTTCATAACCCCAGCACAGTGTTGAGTACATAATAACTGATCAAGAAATGAAGGGCTGAGACATGGAAGGACCAAGTCAGAGGCCCCCCAAGCAGCTCTGTGCCTCCCAATTTGACCTTAGTTATGGCCCACCTACTTGGAAAACTGTTTTGTTGGTGGTGGTTGTGGTGGTGGTGTGCGTGCATGTGTGTACTCAAACGCATGCATGAACAAGTGACATACATGTAAGTATACATAGGCTGTGTGCGTGTAGGTCAGGAGACAACCTTGAATGGCATTCCTCAGGTGCTGACTGTTTTTTCACACCTCTCGGTGAGCTGACACTCCTTTCCAAGTAGGCTGAACTGGCTAGCCAGTAAGTTCCAGGAACACGTCTGTTTCTCCCTATCTAGCCCTGGGACCACAGATCTGAACAAGCATGCCTGGTTTTGTTGTTGTTGTTGTTTTGGTTTGGTTTTTTGGTTTGGTTTGTTTTTTTCAATGTGGGTCCTGGTGATCAAACTCTATGGTTATGAGCGCACTTTACTAACCAAGATAACTTCCAAGCCATTGTTTATTTTCTTTCTTGAGTCTGGACTCTCTGGGTTTCATAAAGTACAAACTATATAGTCAAGGATAACCTTGAACTTCTGATCTCTCTGCCTCCTCCTCCACAGTGCTGATCAGAGGCACACACCACTACTGCCAGTGTTTTGCAGTACTGGAGATCAAACCCTGACCTTTTACATTCTGGGCAAGCATTCTACACATTAAAATACATCGCTAGACCTACCCAGAAAACTTGATTTAAGTAACTTATTGGCACTGGATTTTTGATTTAAGTAACTTATTGGCACTGAATTTTTTATTTAAGTAACTTATTGGCACTGAATTTTTGATTTAAGTAACTTATTGGCACTGAATTTCATACTCAGGCCCAAATTCTCTGTGGTTTTTTTTTTTCTCAAAGTCCAAGCAGAAGATAACTGGTTCCCTACAGTGTGCTAAAACTCTAGCTTTGTTAGAGTATAGACATGAATCTGATGTTTTCTGCCAACATTCCTCAGGTTCCTGCTATGGTCAGATGCTCAATATGTTTCAGAGGCAGTCAAGGAGGGGCATTTTGCCCTTGAAAAGGTAGATGTGGATTACACTCCTCCTGTGAGTAAGAAGCCTCTCCTTGAAGTTTACCTTTCTAATTTCTGATCTCTCCCCGTGAGTTTATAGATCAACCCATGCCTACCCAACCCATATCCGCTGCCTGTCAAGCAGCAACTCTGACCTTTTGTAGGTCATCCCTAGACGTGAGAAGTGTGAGTGTAACTGGAGATACTCATTTTCTGCCCACTGAATGACACATGGCTAAAACCGACTGAAAGAGACTCTGAAGCCTAGAAGGGAAGTTGGTTCAATGTTAAACATAAATCAAATCAAGGGAGTTCTGGGTGGAGCAGGAAAGGCAAAATGATGGTCTTTGATACCCAGAGAACAAAAGCCAAGAGGCTTGACTTTGCGTTGTGTCATTGTTTCCAGAGAAAGGGACAGAGATATGAGGAGAGAGACACGCACCCAAGACAACAGGGAGACGGGCTAAGAAGGGAAGCTTTCTTGCTGGGATGCCTGAAATCACATGTGAAGAGAGTAGAAGACCCTTTTTTAGTTTAAATAAGTAGAAAGAGCAAAATATACAACCTTCTCTTTGTAGGTGGATGGAGACACGGAGGGAAGAGGGAGAAAAGGAAAGTAAAATGGTTTCTTGGAGGGGAAAGGGGCATTCGAACGGCTTGCAGAGTGCAGGTCTAACCCATGCTGCAGCCGCAACGCTTCAGGTTGGACTATTTTAATCGTGGTGTACCATGTTGGTTCTCACAACGCACTATGTGAATGTGTGTGTTAGGTGCTTTACATAATCTAAATTCGAAATCTCAGCTTTGGTGCAAGGCACTCAAACCCTTAGTGATTCAATCCTGTCAACTGTCTTGTGATCCATTATAAGAAAATTAAGCAAGATGTTGCCAAGCTTGCATCAGGCCTGTTCTTTATGGACCAACACGTCACAGAATTGGTCCCCAACTTGGAACTTTGGACGGTGGCTGAAACTTCAGAAGGCAGGAGATTTGGGGCCAGTTTAAGCCACTAGGAAATGTACCCTCGAAGGGGATTATGGGATGCCAGTATCTGGTTTCTTCTCTTGTACCCACACCAAGTGCTAAAGTGAAGGGGCTTTCTCTACCACAGGTCTCTCCATGGTGTACCACAACAGAGCCAATACCACAGCTTAAGGCACTGGGGAATGTACCCTCGAAGGGGATTTCGGGATGCCAGTCTCTTCCTTCTTCTCTTGTACCCACATCTGGAACTGAAGGGGCTTCCTCTGCCACAGTTCCCTCCATGATGTACCACAGTTGAGCCAACTGGTAAAATTCAAAAACTCTGAGACCAAATAAACATTTTCTCTTTATAAAATGATTATAGATATTCTGTCATGATAATAGAAACTGATGAAAAACTAAATCAAACATAAAAGTCCTTTCATAGTACAGGCACTAAATAAATGGTTTGGCCTTTTTCTCCCACGTGAATGCTCAGGAAGAGGTTAAAAATATAAGCATGCTCCCCCCTGTCACTTGGTAACTGTGTGCTTGAACTCAGGGTCAGACAGTCCTAGCAATGGGTCAGAGCATGGCCATTGGCCTCCCATCAGGTGAGCCCCTTCAGACAGTTCCAGACTTTCCCTGAAGTAGAGGTGACTAGTCTCCCCTGTGACACTCGATGCAATTTTCAGAATAGCCTTCTAACACAGATGTAACCATAACAATCACCCGTACTGTGGGTCTGAGTCATCAATCCCACTGATATTGCTTTCCATGTGGGCCTCATAACACCGCTGCACCGTGTTCAGAGAGCTATCTGGAGTAAAGTCCTGCTTTAGTGTTCATGTTACAGATTCTAAAGAGCTCAGAGAATCGCCTGTGTCCCCTGGCAGCCTTCCCTGAGGTCAGCACTGTCAACCACTGGAAGGGTCCTGTCAAGTGGGAGGGAACAGAGAAAGGACCCCTCCACTATCCTAAAGGATATGGGCTCTCCTGGGTCTGAATGTGCAGTCTGCACCTGTGGGAAGTGACCATATCAGTGTGCTAAGGCTGTTCCGGAGGGTAAGGAGAAGGATTGCTCCTAAAATGTATCCTTGAAGGTTTCAGCAGCTTGGACTCTGTCCATAGGCTGGCTGATAGGCAGCCCTAGTGTGGAGCCGAGAACTCCCCTTACAGTTCTCTAGGCCAAGTGCATATGGAGGGTTTGTGTGTGTGTGTGTGTGTGTGTGTGTGTGTGTGTGTGTGTGTGTGTGTGTGTAGACATGCCATGACTGCTTTTCTGGATATGTAATAAGACCTGACCTTCCAGGTAAAACGTGTTCTGGAATTCACCTCTTGGACGTAAGAGGCTGTACCCCACATGAAGGTCACCTTCTTGTGGGAAGTCTCTGGCTATTGACTGCTGCCACCACACATGGTCCCTTGAACATTCTTGCTGCATCATGAATGCATGAACTCATACTCCTTCACTAGGATGCAACCTTTTGTAGTCACATCTCCTGGCTCTGACTTCCTGCCTTTGTAAACAAGCACCATTGTGATTGCATGGAAGCTGCTGAGATACTCCAGGGTGGCCTCCCCATCTCCAGATCTGCAGTTTAGTCACATCTGCAATGTGCCCTTTGCTGTGTAAGAGCACACATGTAGTGGTTTGAAGGATTGGGATACGGGCCTCTTTGGGGATCTTGCTCAGTCTTGAAGTCCTCTCTAATGTCTAGGGTCCCTTTTTGAGATCCAAATGGTTCTAGGGGGAGGTTCAAGTGAAGACAGAGACTCCCCATCCACATGCCTGTGTCCTCCTTGGGTGGGATGACAGAGATGAAGAACCTCCTTCTTTCCAGAGTCTTCTCCAGGCATGGCCCTTCTCTGCAGCTGCTGCAGGCCAAATTCAGTAGAATTCTTTCTACCTCTTGTCTCTAGTATCAATCTGTCCCAAACTATACAGGATGCAGGGCCTGAAACTAAACCAACACCACCCTCTCCTCCCTATAAACCTCATCTCTGCCATCCTGTTTCTCCATTCTCAGGGACAGCCACTACTATGAAGAGAAGGGAAAGGAAGACTCGGCTTCTAGAGCTAAAGACAGGGACCAGACTCCATCATAAACAGGCAAGGGAAGGAAGGAACTTCTTCAAAGCCCTGGAAACTACAGAGTTCCCCTCATGGCCCAAGACTGTCACCTGAGCCCAGTATGAGACTGGTTTCCATGTGGGGAGGGAACTGGTCACCAAAGTCAGAAATCCCAGATGAGAGTACAGCCCTGAAGCCAGAGCACAGGTCACAGCCTATCATCTGGGGGCCTTCACAGCTGCACAGAGGCTGATGAAGTTCAGGTGTTCCATCTAGAGCAGCAGACAGGGAAGCCAGATGGGCCCTACTCTGACTATGGGGTGAACTGGATTTCTGGAGAGGAGAGCACACATATTTGGAGTTCTCAGGGCCCAGGCCACAGCTGCTCCTCTTCAAACCCTCACTTCACAGCCAAGTTCTGAAGCAGACCCTGGATGGGAACCACAGCATCTGGAGCAACAACTAGGACACAGGACCTGACGAGATTTCTGTGCTGCTTGTTGGAATAAATAACAGTCTGGCAGATGGAATCTGACTTCAGAATTACCAGCTTTTCTAGGACACTGCAACCAACAGAGAGGACAATGGGATGGAATCTTAAAAATGTAAACCCAAAATATGGTTCTCACTACAAACCTCAGCAGGAGACAGCTTTCCGATGGCTCTCACTCCCTGCTATGGTTGAGGTTTGGCGTTTCCCCCCAATGCCTGCGGGGCTAATGGGAGCTGGGGTCCTTTAGGAGGTGCCTAGTGAGAGAGAGCTATGTCGTGGGTGTGTTGTGAAGAGATGTTGGGACCCTAACTCTTTCTTGTCACCCTGTCTTTGTTTCCTGATTTCTATGACACTAACAGAGCCTTGCTCTGCTACAAACTCCCTACCACAAGACGTTGTCTCCCTGCAGAACAACACATTCCCCAACCAGAGACAGAAGCCTGTGACAGCCCAAATAAGCCTTTCCTCCTTGTAAGTCGGTTTTCTAGGGTCGTTTGGCCTGGTGACAGAAAGCTGGCTGGCACGCCCCATAAATCTCTGTGTGGATGAAGGATGATGCTTAATTTGCCATGTGGCTCTAGCACCTGGTGCCGGGCACACCCAGGAAGGATCAGATGAAACGGAAAGAAAGCCCAGGATGCACAACCCCCCGGACTTCAGGCCAAGCCAGCTATGTGAGAAAGATGACAGTCTCTCTAGGCCATGTTTTCACCTTCCTAGTTTAGGGAACTCTGGCTGGCAGATGTCCTACCCAGGCACCTCTGTCCCTGAGCCCAAGCAGGCTAGGATTCCATCCATAGAATGGTGACTGCTGGTTCAGGCTGCCAGATACGATGAGGAGGGAGGACATCTCTTGTAGGATGCCATTCCAGGAAAGCATCTCTTCTAGGATGCAGGAATTGACAGAAAGAGGCCCAGGAGACATATGTGTAGACACCCACTGGACTCTGCAGGGATTGCCTTGCAGGCTGCCAAAGCTCTTGTCCATCTTGGATCCAAATAAACCCTCAACAGCTGGTCTAGATCTACAGCCAGGCTAGTCCAGTGATGGACATGCCCGTGTGGAGTCTTATGTCCAGTTCCTCTGATTCTTCATCTAAAGACCATTCCTGGATGGTCCAATTCCTAATCTGTCCCCTCTCTGTGCTATGCCTGGGACTTCCCAGGAGTCCCGGGGACTCAGCAAGGCACTTGGGGATTCTCTATTCCTTGCTTATTGTCCTCGTGCATAGGGAACAGGCACCCAGACTTGTGCCCCAGGGAGCTGACATGGAGGCTATGGCTGGGGTGGGGGCCCCAGAGAAGACTTTACTTTCAGATCTTCCCACGCACCCGTTCAAAGCTGCAGGAGGTATGGCTGAGTCCGGGCATTGCCAGACACATGCAGGCTTCTCTGCAGAGACTCCTTGTACCCTCTCGTGGGCCTGAAGAACAAAGTTCAAAGAGCACAGTTATTCTAGTCTCAGTGCTAAACAGAGGCCTGGGAAAGAAGTTTCTCATGGCCTGAACTTGGAAACCGTCGATGAAACGTCAGCCTTGGCAATGAGAGACTACCACAGTCAGAGGAGGCATGGCAGACTACCACACAGAGGAGACAGCCGTGGTCGCCATAGCCCTCAAACAGCAAAGGCAAGTGCACTGAAAAGAGGAGAGAAACGCCTCTGCTCAGCTCACTCAGGCCCAGCCCAGCCCTAGCACCAGCCCCAAATCCCCATAGGGTCCCTCGGGTGAGATGCTATCCCTGTAACTGCTGTGGAGGAACAGGGCAGGCTCCCCTGCTGACCTGGAAGACCAGTGTTGTCCCTGAATCCCTTAAGACACACACAATAGACACATTCTCACCTGGATAGCTCAGATCAGCACAAACCCCAGTATTATAGCAATTCAGAAAGATAGGAGAGGGAGGACAGAAAGAAAGGCTACCCACAGATACACAGTTAGGGATAGAGGGCAGGAACCTCCTTTCTTATATATCTCCTGAAGAAACTGCCACTATGCTCTGCATGAGGTAAACAGTCAAGTCTATTGTCTGGTTGACCACTGCTCCCAAAGTCATCTGAGGTGGGCAAGAATGTCCGAGTTATAAACACGATTCTCTAGGCTGGCATTTGAGGTCTGGTCACTAGAGGGCGCTCCAGGACTAGTGCTGATTACTGGGCTGGAAAGCTGAGGACCAGGCTTATGCACACAACATTCATCTATATAACCTCTATGCCAACACTAAGTGCTATAAGAAGTTAGAAATGACTCATCTTTTATTAGAAAGCCAAATAATATGAGCAAAAACTAGGGTATGCGTGTTTACCCAGTGGTGACTTCTCTCTCCTGTTAGTGCCTTGCTAACCTTTCATATCTGTGTTCTCATTGAACCCACCCTTCCGGCCTCACCTTAAGGCCCAATGTTCTTAGACTTGTTCAGAGTCTCCACCCAGCCCCACGGCACTGATACCCACATGCACTTTCTGTTTGTTTTAGGGGGTTTGTTTTGTCTGGTTTGCAGTGCTAGGAATTGAACCCTTGTGCATTCTGGGCAAGTGCTAGACAGGGCAGCTTTGCTCCTATGCCCTCATGGATTCATCTTTTATCTCCATGGTCTACACTTCTGCAAAACACACACTTCACAACACAACACGGGAGAGTCTTTCTGTGTGCTCACCAATGGACACGGTGCCTAGAGCAGCGTGTCACATTCTAAAATGAGTAAAACAAGTGACAGTTTGGGGTTAGGACTCAGCCGTCAATCATTCCTGAGCTTCGAGGAAAGAGGGTGTAGGTATAATAGGCACCTTCTCAGAGGAGGTGACCCCAAAGCTGGCATGAGGGATGAGAGCACCCTGAGACAGAGAAGACAAGGAACACAGAAGGCCTGGGGGACGGCAGAGGAGAGGCAAGCTGTGTATGCTGGGTATGGCCCAGGCAGATGGACTGCCCAGATGTCCCTCTTGGCATCAGTACTGGCCCCTCCCTGCAATGGCTGCAAGCTGTGACCCCCAGGAATGACAGGAGCCAGGCTCTGTCTCAGCTGCCCTCCCCTTTCCCAAGACCCTGTTCTCTGCTCTGGGTGTGAACTGTCACTGTATTACACCATTCTGGACTCTGCCATGGGGCAGCCTCTGCCTTTCCTGTCTGTTCTATTCCCCCTTCTGCCACTAGGAAGAAACAAACTACACAGCTCCAGGAAAACAATCCATCATTTTGTCATAACATTTCCATTTCAAAGACTTCCTTTCCAAGCAGCTCCCAGGCTAATGCTTCCTCTTATTAGCATGAGAACTGGCAAGGAGGTGAGCTGGGGAGGCAGGAGGGCTAGAAATGGGCAGGAGGCAGGAGGTCTCTGCCGTCAACTCAGGGCAGGGCATTGTGTGCATGTGTGTGTGTGTGTGTGTGTGTCCATCTGTGTGTGTGTGTGCATCTGTGTGTGTGTGTGCATCTGTGTGTGTCCATCTGTGTATGTGTCTGTGTGTGTGTGTGTATGTCTCTGTCTGTGTGTGTGTGTCTGTCTCTGTGTGTTGGTCTGTGTGTTGGTCTCTGTGTGTGTCTGTGTGTGTGGGTCTGTGTGTGTGTCTGTGTGTGTGTCTGTGTGTGTGTCTGTGTGTGTGTCTGTGTGTGTGTGTCTGTGTGTGTGGGTCTGTGTGTGTGTGTGTGTGTGTGTCTGTGTGTTGGTCTGTGTGTTGGTCTCTGTGTGTGTCTGTGTGTGTGGGTCTGTGTGTGTGTGTGTGTGTCTGTGTGTTGGTCTGTGTGTGTGTGTGTGTGTGTCTGTGTGTGGGGGTCTGTGTGTGTTGGTCTGTGTGTGTTGGTCTGTGTGTGGGTCTGTGTGTGTGGGGGTCTGTGTGTGTGTGGTCTGTGGGGGGGTCTGTGTGTGTGTGGGTCTGTGTCTGTGTGTGTGGGTCTGTGTTTGCATTCTTGCACTCACTTTTCTCACACTCACTATTCATGCCGTTCTGTTAAAGGCATACACATCACAAAGGCACAGATGCTCACAGGCATGGGCTGAGCCTCTGTGTTGTGCTAGGAACTCAGCCCCACCACACAGCTAAGGATTCAGAGGACAGGCAGACGCCCCACTGTCCTGAATCATCTCAGTCAGAGACAGATGTATAACTATGACTCAGAAATGCCGCTTTAAATGGCACTGCTGAGTGACGGCCCAGGAAGCAAAGGAGGGGGCATCATCCTAGAGCTGATGATATTTAAGTTGGTCTGAAGCGTGAGGAGAGCTGAAGGTGAGAGAAGAGGAGATGGGCAGAGCAGACAAAGGGGACGGAAGGGAACCCAAGCCCCGCTGCTGGGTGCTGGGTGAGGCTGTACACAACAGCCACCCGGCCCCTGCTGGTCCCCCTGCAAACTGCTCTACCACCAGACACAGGTAGTGCGAAGTGTTTGTGTGCCAGCCCAGCCCTGAAGAGCACCTCCCCATGCCCTGGAACACCACAGACAGATGTTCTTGTGCCCTTCATTCATTCCTGGCAGAGCCCCACAGAGGTGGCCCAGGCCCAGCACTCAGGGGACCCCTCTGTAAATAGTAATTTTCTAAAGGCAACTAGCCCGCCCTCACCCGCTGTCCTCACAACACCGTCAAGACTAAACAGCAGCCTGGTCTGGAACATCCTGAAGCCAGGCAGTTTGATGTCGGAAGATACAAAAACGCACCCCGAAGACTGCTAGTGTAGAGAGCATTACAGGTACAGCGTCGCCGGAGTTAGCAGCACAAGCAAGGCCACAGCCTGCCAGGCAAGCCATACACCAAGAACCCCAAGATGGGGATACTAAGCTAAGCTTACCGTGTCCCCACCATCAGCTCGTGGCAGGGAGCACCACCAGGGCCAGCTGAGCACTATGGGGTGAGACTGTTGGATCCAAGCCTTGTGTATATGACAGCCACCACATTCAGACTTTCTCTATGGTCTCCAAATGAGATTTGAGTATTCAAAATACAATTGTTAAATGTAAACCTCTGAAACACATAACAGGATTTTTGTAAGCTTATCCAATTACTCTTTTACTTCTTTTTTTTAAATCTATACAAAGACTGAAAATCATGAACATGACCCAATTCTGTCTCGCTCTTCACAAGTAGACGGTATTGGTCCTGTGGATGAAAAGTGAGGTGTCGAGAAGCCAGGGCTTACTGGTTCCCAGCAATAACCTTCCTGTCCAGCCTCCTGAGGCTCGGGGGCCAGGGCCTAGCCACTGCAATCCTTTATAGCCTTTTATGGCCTCTGCCCCGAGTCACGCCAGGGATGTAGCTGGAGCTGTTTCTCCAACACCTCATCCCCACAGCCTCGTTCCTCACCTTCCCTGTTAGAGGCCAGACGTGTCCCTCTGCAGACTCCCAGGTACCATGGAGGGTGGGTGGTATCTCCACTGCCCCGTGCCTCATCTTTTCATGTTTGGCCACTTCTGAGAAAGACCCCAAGAGATGCCTCCAGATGGCAGGACAGAAATAAAATCCTACCGCCACCCCCACTAGAACAATCAAGAAGAGCCACACTCCCCTCTTTAGTCTCCTCTGAGGAATCACTACCAAGGCCTTCCAGCCCCTGACTGTCTGCCTATCTTCCAGATCCTCCTCCATTTGCCAGGTGTCAAGACAAAGTGGGAGGGGTCTAGGTAGCCAGGGGCCTCCCCTGAGTCAAGGTCTTCCAAGAGGGAAGGAGTTGACCCCACAAGTGAAAACAAGTCTAGTCCTTCACTGTCACTATGTGATATCACATGACTATAAAAGGCTGGCTCTAGGGGAGATAACAGAAGTCTGAATTCTTATATTGTCCCATGGAAACGCCAGTCAAAAGAAGGCAGTACCAGCGCTGAGGAGACGCCCAGTCAATAAAGCACTTGCTTCACGAGCGTGAACACCTGAGCTTGGGTCCCAGGACCCTTGTAAAGATGGCGGGGATAATGGAACACACTTGTACCCCAGCACTGGAGGCAAAGGTGGGAGAATCCCTGGGGATCTTTGGTCAACCAGTCTAGACTAGTTGGTGATTTGAGCTCCAGGCCAATGAGAAATCCTGTCTCAGAAGTGGACAGTGTTCCTGAGGGAGGATAATGCTCAAGGTTGTCCTCTGAATTCCACATGCGCTCCTGCACAGAGAGAGAGAGAGAGAGAGAGAGAGAGAGAGAGAGAGAGAGAGAGAGAGAGAGAGAGAGAGAGAGAGAAAGAGAAAGAGAGAGAGAAGGGAGTAGAAGCATATGTGTGAAGAGTACATTCTAGAGATTCACAGACTCCAAGCTCCGAGGCTCTCCCCTGGAAGCATGTCTGCTGTTCCCCAAGGTGACTGAGGGTCCATTAAAGCACAACAGGAAAAAACCAGCAAATCTCTCCCTGTTCTCACTCTGTGATGGCCCTCTCAGGAAGAACGTGCGAGGCTGAGGGTGAGTGCATTCTGTTTACCTGACACCACAGTCCTCCCTGGGAACTTGACTGCGGGCTCCTGGCCTCAAATGCCAGCCTCAGAGTACACAAGGATCTCAGAAAAAGAGGGGAGGGGCTGACTGCTGGCTGGGGTGGACAGAGTGGAATAAGAGGGTACAACAAAGGTCACAAAAGGCATAGCCTCTGCAAGGACCAGGAACTGTGAAAGTATGGTGCTCCCACAGAAAGCACAGGCCAAAGCAGGAAGGAGCGCATTGCCCACCTCTGAAAAATGGGCTAGCCCAGCATCTCTGTAGAAAGGAGCTGCTGTAGAAAGGGGCTCTAGATTCAGGCAGAGGGTCTCTGGAGCTAAGGAGAGGGCCTGACCTTACCTGGCCGTTCTGGCCCTGCACAGCACCAATGGCCTGCTGGATACTGAGGACGCCTCTACCAGGCCCCCACAGCAGGGCAGTGCCTGTGTCCAGAAGAGCAGTGCAGCCACCTTTACAAGCCACCACCTCGTCATTGACCTCGATCCTGGAAGATTAAGCAGAGGATGTCACAGTACCAACCTTTACCAGCCCTCTCTCCCGGGTCCTTCCCACCCCTGCCAGGACCCTCAGGGAAGGAAGGAGGTCCAGACCCTTTTTTTGTCTTTTGAGCCTCTTCTTGGCACCCCCAAAACTTTCCAAATTCAGAGAAAAGACTGAACTATTTTCCCTCAGCGGCTAAATTGAGAACAGTTTAAATTGCAAGGGTCCAAATAACAGCAAAACAATCCTTTTGCATGCCCTTCCCTGAGCAGACTGAGGATTAACCAGTTGCGTGAGGATTCAGTTTCAAGTTTTCTCTGCCATTTACTTGAAATATGTCTCAGGTGAATCTCCCAACATTTGTATACTTGGGCTTCTCAGGAACAAAATTGGTACATGAGCAATCCCTCAAGCAAGAGGATGCTTGTAAGGCTTAGACCAAAAGTCCATAACCTGCACACTAATGACAATACCAGCACCCACCTCCTCCAGGCTCTGTGGGAACCACAACCACACAGCACAGTCCCTCCCAGGTAAGAGGCAGTCAGTGTGGCCAGTTCAGGGTGGGTGTGCAACATAATCTTGCAAGGGATGCTGGCCTCACAGCTGGATGACACAATCAATCAATAGTCTCAGAGCTACAGGATGCAGTTCTTCTCGGCCCCATGGTCTGATGCCTGGACCCCCATATCCACACATCAAGGGTCAGCCTCCCACAGGGGCCCATGTAAGGTTCTGCTCACCTGCCTGTCCACTATGAACTGCCAATATCCCTGCACAGTCACAGGTACCCAGTGCACCGAGCCTATGAAGTAGGACTGATTGACGGCCCCCAACGTGAGCACACTACCCTGGTCATTCCTGGAACCAAGAAAGGCCTCTCTGTGGCAGCAGACACTCTACTGATGAGGAGTGCCCAGCCCCATCCCGAGGCAGATGGATGGAGACCCAAAGGCCTTCCACTGCCTTCCACCCCTGCCCCAACAGCTACAGTTCCCTGCTCCTCTGATCCACACCCTTGACTCAGTACTGAAGACATAGCGACTCGCAGCACAGGTCAGGAGGCCACCAGGCTCTGACCTGCTGCCCTAGGTCTCCCCAGCACCCCCATGAGCCTCCACATAAAGGCACATAAAAAAGGGATCTTCAACAAGACCCTACAGTTAGGATTAAAACCGCCTCCCAGAGCCAGATGCCATCTGCTCCCTCTGGGATACCGTTGCATGCTCAATGGGGCACACTCACACACTCATCTACTCTTCCACACTCTTCCATCTCCTAGGACTCGAACCCTTCCTACCTCCAGGGAACATAGTACTTGCTGCCTAAAACGTGCTGCCTCTCTGGCCCTCGCCTGGGTAGCTCCCACTCTTGTTTGGTGAAGCCTTCCCTGCCTTGTCCTATGTGCACATATGTCCACACAGACATACAGACCCATGTCAGAGTAAACATCCATATCTTAAGGTGCCTATATGCCCCATTTTTTTGCTGGCGTACCCTTCTCACAATTACCTGATTACAGTGTGAATTACTGGGTACTGACTATTCCCTTTGCTAAAATCTATCTTCTCACTTGTCTTGATTGCAGATGTATTTGCATGTGTCCTGACCTAATCTCTGCATATAAAGGCCCAGTAAAGCTGGTCGTTGGTGGCACATGTCTAATCCCAGCACTCAAGGGACAGAGGCAAGCAGATCTCTGTGAGGTCAGGCTGGTCTACAGACTGAGTTCCAGGACAGGATCCAAAGCCACAGAGAAACCCTATCTTGAAAAACAAAAACAAACAAACAAAAAAGAAGGCCAAGGTAATATGCATGGAGTAAATGACTGAATGTCTAAATGCGTGTGTGAATGAAAGGAACCTCCTTACTTTTGCCTTGTGTCCCCTCTCCTCAGCTTCCAGCCTCTTCTCCTGGGGGTGGCCTCCTTCTGCTTGTGCAGCCACCTAACCCAGTTACCATAAGAGCAGGAAGGTAAAACAGGAAGCACTGTAGCAGGCTCCTCTGGATCCAGGTCTGCATCCCTCCTTTCCTCCCCCTGGTGGAAGGAGATGCCTGGACCCTACAGGACAAATGATGCCTGAGATCCTGTATCTTTGGAAGAACATGCAAAACGCCCTCATCTAGAGATGGGAATAGGCTTTGCTATTGTTGTTGTTTGTAGTGCCAAATATTGAACCTGAGGTTCAGCACATGCTAAGCAAATCCTCTAAAACATCCCCAGCAAGGCTTTGCTTTTTTTAAAGGTATAATGAAAATCATCTTTGTCTTAGTACACTCTAAGTTCACTCTAACTTAGTACACTAGTTGCATACATGGCTCCAGTAGGATCTTTGGACAAAAGGTAGATGTGCCTGGAAACCAGGATAGAGATGGTTTAGATGCTAGTGGCTACCTTGACAGGTAGTTATCTCCAAGCGGCAAACATTCACCTCAGCAGTCCTTACCATGTATAAAGTCACACCCTTGGTGGGTGCAGCTCCTGCCTGCTCATGTAAATGGAGAACAGGTCTTGGGCAACCAGGTGCCTATTCATCATGTTGTCAAATATGGGTACTGAACACTTGGAAGCAAGAGAAGTGTAGGACAGCCCCAGGATGCTATCGAATGAAGAGTAGATGAAGATTTCACCTGGCTCCTGAGTACTCAGGCCCACAGTCTGGTAGGGAACTACAGTATCGGAGATCTGCAAAGAAGAAAAAATTGTCATGATGACATCCACCAGGGAGCTTCTGCAGCCAGAGACAGAGAAGTTCAGGGATGGAGCAGGCAGCCTGGGATCACAGATCAGTGTTGGCATCCAGCCTTCACTGGCCTTTCTTCCTTTTTATAGGGTTATTTTCAGCTTAAGAAATTGGAGCGAGCTGGGTCCTCCACATTTTCTGCTTGTCTGTGAAGGATTGGTCTGAGGAGAAGAGAATGGGATATAGGAGACAGTGTTTGGTGCAGACACAGGTTTCATGCTGGGGACAGTACCAAAGGAAGTGGGATGGTGATTGTCCCAGTGCTGCCTGCAGAAACAGCTGCACCTTCCCCTTTATGGTCCTCTCTCAGAGGCGTCGAGGAAGCATCGCCAGTCATAAAGCAGGTGCTGTGTGGGTCCCTATGCTGTCGCCTGCTGACTGAGCTTGAACAAGTTCTTCCCAGGCGCTCAGTCCCTTATCTAATAAATGGAATTATAACGCCTGAATCTCAAGTCAGTGCCAAAGCTAAATAACCGAACACCTGTTGGGCATTCACTGTTTATTCAACAGTTATTGGCACCACGCTAAAGAAGGCTGTTCGTGATTCGCCCACCTTCCCAGAGGGTAGACGTGTCCACCAGCCTGCTCTGAGCCACTCAAAGGGCCGAAGCAGGTCTCCTGCCTCTGCTCTGTCCCATAAAGTTAATCAACCTCCACCCAGGGCAGCCAATGTGAGCTTTACAATCTGAAATCAAGCCTGCCACACAGACTACTACTGCCCCGTACATCTCAGTAGAGAAGGGAATCATCCCTTCTGGCCTCAGCTCCCACAACTTACGTTCCCCTTAGCTCACTTGCCCCACGTGCTGGTCTCTGCCCCCTTCCTCAACTGCTCCAGCTCCTACCCATCCCAGGACTCTTGCATTTGCTCCTCTGCAGTGCTGACCCCAGATCACCTCAGACCTGGCTTCCAGAAGTAGATCACTTGGGTTCCAGGTAGCAGCAGGTCACCATGTCCACCAAATCTCCATCTTCTGACTCAGAAACACTCTCTGACACATGGTCCAATTTTGTTTTCTTCTTACCCCTACTCAACAGTGTTCAAAGCCATGTGACTAGTCTTTTGTGCATAGGCCATACTCTCACAAGGCCACCTGAGTGTCTTTCTCTAGAAATCATAAGGTGAGCAGGTCCGCTGTCCTCTTGTCCACCATTATATCTTCCTTGGAGCAAGCATTCATGGTGTGAATAAATGAACAATGGCTAAGTGCTAAGGAATAACTCAGTTCTCCTTTTTTTTCAGTCAACAAACCATTACTGAGGGTCTCTGATGTGCCAGATGGAAGGCTTTGAGGATGCAGCAATGGACAAAAAAATGTTCCTACCCTGGGGAACATCTTATCCAACAGGAGAGACCAACAATGAATTTTTAAAAGCAGCCATATAGAACAAGTGACAATAAGCCCTCAGAAGGAAATTAATCATGGTGAGGCCATAGGCGGTGTGTGATGTTATAGGATGGTGAGAGACCTCACTGAGAGAGTGACATTCTTCTGAGAAGCAAAGGCTGAGGATAGAACAGGCCAGGGGGAAGGGAGCGAGAGGGACAAGGCCAGAGACAGACTGTGTGTGGAGTAAACTCAGTGACACAGGCCAAGTCTGGCCGAGACACGGAAGTGAGCACCGGGAACTGGGGGAAGCACTCAGTGGAGCTCTGGGAACAGAAACAATCAACAATGGCAGAAGGGGACGTCACACAAATGGCTGTCAAAGGGAGTACCCTCTCAGAACTCTCACCGACTGAGCCATCCAGTGGACAGGATCCAAGGGATCCTCATTCCCACAGATGCACGACCCATTGGACCAGGCTATCTTGAGGGAGAGAGAGCTGCAGGGGAAAGCTTGGATGAGTCCAGCCATTGCCTCCTCACTTACTGTGACAGTGTCATAGCCCAGGAAGCCCTGTACTCTGCCAGTGCCATTCTGGACAAACAGGGGCTTGCTCAGGTTCTGGAAGGGAATGACTTAGATGGATCAAAACGGTGATGATTTTCTGCAACAAAGACCCAGATTAGTGGATCCTTGGTGTCCTCTTGTCCTCAACATTCCCAAGCAGAGTGGAAACCCTCACTAGACCTCACAAGAACAGGGCTATGTATCAGCTTTTCTCTCTGTGGAAAGCAAGCAATCTAGTCTCTCTACAGCATGGTCCCATAGTTTAGTCAAGAAAACCCAGCCCACCCACCCCCACTTCCAAGCCTGTACAATTCCAAACACAAAAGAGAAGAAACCCCAGGTGTGTGGTTTCCATGCCCACTTTCTCTGTCATCTGAGTAACTTTAGCCAAGATCCTTCTCTTCTCTAGACCTCCATTTCCTCATGTAGGTGACTGGAAAGGAAGGGGCAAGAGGAGTAGGCAGGGTGGGAAGCCACTCATGGTAGGCTCTGCTGCTACTGTAGACAGAGGGCACTCAGAGTTCCGAGGAGCCTGTGCCAAACACCACCGTGAACTCCTGGGGTGGTGTCCTGACGTAGATCGGTCCGAAGTACTCACTCTAAGGACAGACAGTTCTGGGTCAGAGGTGTAGCCAGGAATTGGGGGACACTGGGGAGGGGTTGATGATAGGCACAGGATTCCTGTGAGTCCTGTGTTTTCTACTCGGAGACATGAAACAGATCTGAAGGAGTCTCCTTATGAAATTTCACACATTTGGCTTGTGGAGGCTGTAGGAAGAACCCAAGAAGCCAGGCAAAGGAGACCTGCATATTTGAACAGAAGTAAGGACAGAAGTCAGGCCTGACCCCTACTGTGGCAATGCCCTCCTCCATGTACATCTTCACAAAGCCACCAGATGTGAATCCTGAAGGCTAGGACACTGCTGCTTCTCATGTTCCTGGGAGATGGCCACAAGTACATGCAGCTACCATTCAGCACCTTGTACCTTCAGAGAGGTAAGGGGGAGATTAGTGCTAAATGGTGAAGCTTGTTTCTTGTTCTCTTCTCCTGGGGCGCTGCTCTGATGGGCCAGGCCCTGCACCTGGGCTGTGTCTCCTCTATCCTCCATCACTGAGCATAATGCACAAGAGGAGCTCAGGGAATGTTTGAGTGCACACGTGAGTGAGTGAGTGACATTGCCACTGTCCCGATAAGCAGCAGTATCTAGTGATGTCTGTGTGACACGCTACAGATGAGGAGACAGAAGTTCAGAGAGGCCTATAGTAAGAGCTTGGCCTCGTCTGAAAGGTCCTGAATTAATGTCTCCACGTACCACGGCAAGACCAACTCTGCTTCTAGGTCCTTCTTCCCAAACTCCAGCCACCCATTGAGACAGTCACAGTATGTGCAGTAAACCCAACCTGAAATGCTAAGACCCTCTGAGGCTAGGTTAGCACCTTCAAAAACGATGGATGGAGGCAGGACTGACTGTGGCTGCATGTTACCAATGGGCCTAGCCTGACCCAGTGGCAACCTCTCAAGGACAATGACTACTGGTGTTGGGTGCAACCACCTCTCCCAGTGGAAGGTGACCACAAAGCCAGGAATCAAAGATCCCTCAGTGCCATTTGCCTTTTATTTTTTCACACAGTTGGCAACCATCTGAGAGCATCCAAGTGCATGCTGGAACACTGCCCCACAGAACACGATGCTAAGAGAGGTTATCTGCAGGTGCAAGCCTCAATCTAGAAAAAGCTTTTAATAGAGACCATGATAAGAATCGAACATTCTCTAACTGACACTGCACAGACATATCACCTTGGTCTAGACGACTTGTGTCTGGGGACTCACTCACAAAAGTGGCTGAAACAGCTCAGGAGCCAGGGCACCCCTTCATCAGCACTCAGATTCCAGCACTCACAAAGTCAACTGAGTCAGTTTCTTAAACATCTTCTATGCACAGAGCAGCTGTCATCTCAGCCCCTAGGGAGTCCACAGCCAGGTGAGCACAAGTGGGAATAATAGAGAAAGTTCAAAGGAACACACACACACACACACACACACACACACACACAAACTGCAAGGTGGCAGTGAAAGTGTGGCTTCTAGAAAAAGACTGTGGCCATTGTGGCCTTGAATCCAGGGTCAGCTACACAGTGGTATGACTATGGGCAAATTTCCTTACCCTCCCATGACTCAGTTTCTTCTAAAGGTAGAGACAATGATACTGATAGGGTCATGTGGTATCAGGTGCTAACATCCCTTATACCACAGAAACAAAAATTTTCAACAAAACATTTGCAGTCTGAATTAAGAACAACAGAGAAGACCATACACCATGATCAAGTTGGTTTCATTCCAGGGATGCAAGATTGGTTCAGCAAGCATAATGAATGTAGTACAACACATGACTAGGCTTAAGGACAGAAATCACATAATCATCTCAACAGATACAGAAAAGGGCTTGGACAGAGATCAACATCCCTTCAGGATGAAAGTCCTGAAGAAACTCAGAATACTAGGAACACATCTCAGCATAATAAAGGCCACATGTGACAGACCTAGCCAGTGCTCTAAGTGAAGAGGAACTGAAAGCACTTGCTCTATAAACAAGTGTATTGTGGTGTTTTGAATAAGAATGCCCACCATAGGACCAAGTTTGGTTCCCCAAACCAACACCTGTGGCCTCCACAGACACTGGTACTCAGGGTTACACACACACACACACACACACACACACACACACACACACACACACGCACACGCACACGCGCAAATTAAAAATAAAATAATCTTAGGGAAGAAATGGCAAAAAGAAAACAAAGACAGAAAGTGCTGGAAAGGAGGTAGGGAAAGAGGAACTTTATACAGTGCTAGTGGAAATGTAAACTAGTGCCACCATTATGGAACTCAGTAAGGAGGCCCCTCCGAAAACTGCAAATAGAATTACCTGTGATCCGGTTATAGCACTCTATACTCAGAGGACTCCGAGTCAGCGTAGACAGAAACACCGGCTCACCCATCTTTAGGGTTACACTGTTCAAAACAGCCAGCCTATAGGATTAGCCTAGATGTCCACCAGCATAAATGGATAAAGAAAATGCGGAATAAATACAAAGTGGAATTTTATTCAGTTGTACAGAAGAATAAAATTATGAAATTTGTAGGAAAATAGATGATAAATGATATAAGCCAGGCCGAGGGACTGTGAGAGAGAAGTCTAAAGGGACAGGGAGGGAAAGCATGAGAGGGCACAGGAATGTGAGTGTCACGAACACAGGAGGGGCGCTGTTTGGGATGGGATGCAAGAAAGGGATGAACAAGAGAAGGGGGAGGGGAGGGGGCCAGTGGGAAGAGCAAATAAGACAAAGTATAAAGATAAGTATGCATGAAAGTGTCACGATGAATCCCACTTCCTTTCTTAAAGAGTAGAAGATAGAGAGAGAAGGTTGGAGGACCATCCTCCTCCTCCTAGGGTTTTCTTTTTTTATTTTTTATTTATTTATTATGCATACAATCTTCTGCCTGCATGCCAGCAGCAGAGGGCATCAGGGCTTGTTCAAGGTGGTTGTGAGCCACCATGTGGTTGCCGGGAATTGAACTCAGGACCTTTGGAAGAACAGTCAGTGCTCTTAACCGCTGAGCCATCTCTCCAGCCCTAGGGTTTTCTTATAACCAGCCAGGCCCTAGAAGGTCCCCGAAAGTGTCCAGAACGTGCAAGGTCTTATGGTCCTCCTCCTCCTCCTCCTCCTCCTTCTCCTTCTCCTTTTTTTAAACTAGTTTCTTTTGTTGTTGCTCGCTTTTGGTTTTGTGTTTTGCTTCTTAATCCAACCCTCTCAGTCCTCTCTGTCCTCTGTGCAGCAGATGTCTGTGTCCCTGGGGCTGCTGTCTGTCCTCTCTCTCAGTCTTCTCCTTCAGTCCTCTCTCTGTCCTCTGTGCAGCAGATGTCTGTGTCCCAGGGAGCCACTGAGGTCTCTGGGAATGGGTGGGATTGGGGGCCAAGTGGGATTTGTAGACTGCCTGCAGGAGTCTTCCCTGCTGACCTCCCGGTGTGGCTGAGAGGGTGGGGGAAGGACCGAGGGTTTTGCCCTAAGACCAAGGCCTGGTGGATGTGTGTTCCTGGTGGGAAATGATCACTCACCTCTCAGTCCTCTGTGAAGTAGATATCTGTGTCCCAGGAAGTTGCTGAGGTCACTGGGGATCTTGTTTTTTCTGTTTAAGACAGAGTACTGCATATCCCAGGCTGTCCTTGAACTCACTATGTGGCTGATGATGGCCTTGAACTCCTGTTCCTCCTGGGACTGCATTTGTGTGCCGCCATACCTGGCTTTGACCCCTCCTTCCTCGCCTTTGCCAAAAGTGTGGGGCGAGGCTGCTGTTGTGTGCCATCTGCAACTGAGGAAAGAGAAACTCAAGAGTCAAGTTGCTCACCCAGCTCTCAAACCAGAGGCAGTGGCAATAGAGCCCATTAGATTACTGCAGCCTCACTGAGCAGGTGACAATGTGTAGCCCAGTGACACTCGGCATGAGGAGGTAGCTCAGGTGCGCACTGGGGCCATGTGGTGATGTGAAAAAATAGGGTGGCTGGTATGAGGGAAATCTGCCAGAATTCTTCCCTCCATTTTACTACAATAATACTGAGCTTGTATTCCAAGTTTAAAAATAAATACCAAAAAATGTAGTGAATTCAATTCCCTTCTTTTTTGGCCAAATTAATTTTTTAAAGTTCTTCACAAGTAAATATCATGCAGACAAAAGTACCTGCAGGTCAGACTCTAACATCTACACAGCCATCAGATGATACACATCAGATAATGGTCGATTTGGGCACATGGAGACAGAGAGATGGATCACCAGCTAGCTCCATGAAGTCAGCCCAAAACAGGTTTGTTATTATGTATTTGGGGGGCAAACATTTAAAACAGGGGTAAGCATTAACTTTTATATTATACAGACAAAATAAGATAGATTGGGCAAATGCCCACCTCAATAACAACCTGAGAACAGACCCCTTGTTTTAGCAAAAACTAGACTAAAGGAATGCCCCCACACACGCTTGCCCAGTGCATGATGGAATCAACTAGGGGCTCTCCAAAAGAGGAAAGTATGGGGGAGGGGGCTGTGGAGGACAGGCCCAGCATCAAGTGTAGCTCTGCAGATATGTCTGGGCCATGACACACACCAGAGAATCCGACTTTAGACTGTACCTATTGTCTTCTGCATGCCCTTACCTGAAGATGTTCAGGAAGTCCACGCCAGTGAAAACACTGCTCACCACCCAGCTATGCTAATTAAGGAGAGCTTTTTCCTGAGATGAATGTGTGTTAAAAATATCAAATATTAATCATCAGCAACATTAATTTATGATAATGCTTGTTTCCCTCTCAACTTCCTAGCTGACATCCGGCATAAGTGCTTTGAACCTAAGGCTTGATGCACTGTGGGAATTAGAAATAGCCTCTCTTACAGACTTCACCATGAACTGACTGGCTCCATGGGGCAGTTCACAGATTGGTGGGGTCTGCCACAAGTAATAAAATCCTGGATGATTCTATTTGGGGTAAAGTCTAAAACTTTAAAGAGATCCAGGCATGGTATCAAAAGAGGCATCCTGTCTCACACATCAGGGAGGAGGCAGGAGCATGCCCCCTTCCTTCTGCTTCTTTACTGCCGTGGTACCTTTGATGTGTGCATGCATGTGTGTGCTCATACAGGGGTGCACGTGTGCGTGTGTGTGTGTGTGTGTGTGTGTGTGTGTGCTGTGCGCGCGCATGTAGAGACCAGTGTCAAACTTGTGGTGTCTTTCTCAGTTGTTCTCCGCCTTGTTTCTTTTAAAGTGTGTGTGTGTGTATGTGTGTGTGTGTGTGTGTACTATTGTGTTCACGGAAGTCCAAGGGGAACTCTCAGGAGTTGGTTCTCTTCCACAACCTTGTGCTATCCAAGGTGTAAACTCAAGTTTTCAGGCATGCGCACAAACACCTCTACTCACTGACCCTCTGTGCCAGCCTTCCTCTTTGTTTTTGTATCAGGATTTCTCTCTTTTATCTGGAGCTTGCTTATTGATCCAGCTAGGCTGGCTGACTGGCTAGCTAGCCCCAAGGGCCAGCCTGCTTCTGATTTCCCAGCACGGCAACCACGAGCTTTCACCACCGCACCCAGATGTCGTTTTCTAACATGGGAATCAAATCCATGGCCTCCTGCTTGCGCTGCACAGGTCTTACTGACTGAGCTAGCCCAGTAGCTGTGTTCTAATACGAAGTCCACACATGGAGTGGGGCTTTACAAACGGGAGCTGCCTCGGCTCTTTGCACAGCACTGTCGATGTTTTGCTATTCATTGAATTGATTTCCTCCAACTGCTGGGTTGACTGACATGCTGAGGTAAGGTTTCTAAGAAGGTAACAGGTACAGAACTACCATATGGGAGTCACAGCTCGAGAGCTCGTGAGGGGCCTGGGAGTTGCAATCGAATCGAGCCCTGCTGGTAACCCCAGAATCTACCCTGTGCAGCTTGCCACAGTTGGAATCTGCTGTGGTGAGGTGTGTTGAAGGAATGTGTCCTCACGACAGAGTTGCTCTGCCCACAGTCTGGGAAAAGCTAGGGTGGAGGTCAGAGTGCACCTGTTTCTAATCGCAGCTGTTACCAGGCTCTGCCTCCAGGAACCTGTGCGTGCACTTGAACTTGGCAGGGTATGAACACTGTCTGAACACAGTGGGGTTTCTTGCTGCTAAGTTCAGATTTGTGGCCTTTGCAATGCATCCAAACAGCTTTTCCATCCTTCCCAGATCTTTGGTTTCCTCCACTAAGGAGAGACCTCCAAGCTCTGGTGGTTAAATGAGGGCACAAAAACCCCAAACGCTGGGCCCAGGAGCCAAGTGCTGACTCTTCAAGATGTCTTCATAAGAAGACCACCCCCAAGCTGCTTCCACATGGTGGATGACGACCTGAGCATTTCCCATACTCTAACATTTCCTCTTCACTGCAACCCCAAGAGGCAGGGCCTCTTGTTGTTGCTGCTGCCACTCATAGAGGGGGGAACTGAGGCAGAGAAAGTTCAGTAAACTGACCGAAGTCCCAAGCCAGGAAGTAACTGGAACAGGGCTCAGACTTATTTGGTTCTATTGCTCAGCACTGGACTGCCCCATCAGTAAGCAGACACGGAGACCGCAGCAACTTGCTGAGCAACCCACTGCACCTGAGCCAAGGAAATGGCAGTGCAGGTGTGTCTGTTTACTTAACCTTTGGGCTTTGCTTTGTAACAGGTTCCTGGGCTCCGCTCTGGCTCTCTGCCAGAGCATGCTAACAGCTTCTTGTCTGTCAGGGCATCTCCCTGCCCAGGCAGGAGGGTTGCCATAAGGCCCGTCTGGACTACATAGTGAATTCCAGGATAGCCAGGGCTATCAGAGTGTGAGAAAGAACTTTCGGGGAGATGGATATTGAGTCACATGCCTGGTGTGACCTGGATCACTGATCTTCTGGGGACCCAAGCACTATGCTGTTCTCCCCAGACGAGCAGAAGAGATAGGGAAGATTGCAGCAGGGCTAGCTGTACAGGGTAGGGACACGATCTGAATTTTGTTTGCCTCCACGGTCTAGTGGCTCTGGGTTTCTGGAGCTAAACATCCCCAGCTTGGGAGCAGAGTGAGAAAAGGTATGCTTCATACATCACAGCCTTGTCCCTGCCCATGGCTCAACCACACATGATGAGATTCTAACATGAGTGCTCACATTCCTGGAACACAGAGGATTTGGTGCTCATTAACTGTGTATCAGATTCTCTGTTCCTGCCAAGGTGGGCAGGGCAGTGCCCTCCAAGGAATAAAAAAAATAATTCTTGTCTTCATTTAAAGACACCACAGTCACAACAAACTAGAACCCCACCTGGCTTGCCATGCACGGTCTAATGCTTTGGTGCTACTAATCTCGTGTAGATACTGGAAACTTCCATTCAAGGCATTGTCTGAGGTAGAAAACCACAGATTCCAAATATGAGAAGAGACAGAACATCTCTTAGAAACCACAG